TACAACCTTAATATATGTGAAAACATTGCATCAACATCTTATGCGCTTGTTTTATACAATCTGTTTTGGATATGTGGCCTTGAGAGGGTATGGATGCGTAATTTGTCGAGCAGATAGCGTTGTTTTGGCCCAGTCTGCACATCGAATTTGAACTAAAGAGCAACATAGGGAACACAAACAATGTCAATGGAAACAAACAAGACTGGAAGAACAGAAAGACATCTGCAGGTCAGGTTAGAGGGACATAAAGTATGCAACGTGCAGGGGGAACGTAAACTCAACTTACGCTGAACACCAGCTGCAATTCTACAACAAACACTTCCTCATCACAAACCTTTGGCATTGTCTACATTATATTCAATACAAAAAAGGTGACGGAGACAGGAACAGTAAAAAGATAGATTATTTTAAAATGCATTTTTGCAAACATCTGTCTTCTGCTGTTTGTTTCCTTTGCTTGCATTCACCATGTTGCTCTTCAATTCAGCTTTGAGGTACATTGGGGCTAAAATCACGCCATCTGCTGGAGCTTTTCTGTGTCTGCACCCACTCCAGGCTGAAGTTTCCTATTTGTTTAAAACCATTATAAAAAGCCCTTTTCTTCCATTACATGTGTTTGACAAACACTTGATGAGCAAACGTGTTTTTAAATGTTCAATATGAACAAACCATGATTAAAAAATGTGTTTGCTGAGAGCATCATGGAAGTTTCTTGGATTTTGATGTCTGCATGTATCCCATCCTCTAGATAAAACATTTGGTCTTGAAAAAAACAAATATTTAGTGTCTTTTATTGTGCATGGTAAAAAAAAAGAGTCTTTATTTCACTTCTTGTATCCACCACACTCAGAGTAAAACTGTCCTGCTGTGTCTGGTATCAGTCACACTGATTGTGTGGCACCAGCAGTCCATTTACTCTGATGAAACCATTATTGGAGTGGGTGGAAATTAAGCAGTTTGAGCTCAAAAGGAATTAACAACTCCCTCGTATGCAAAAGAGGCTGATTGGAAATAAGTACATGAACACATCACCAAGTCCTTTATACCCACCTGTCCAAAGAAAATGTATATTTTGTTTGTGAAAGTATAAAGCGTGAGTTTGTGTTTAAGTTACAGGACACCCACGCTGCTGCTTTAACTTTATTTACTCGTTTAGATCTCCCTCCAGATTGTGTGGGCGAGTAAAGACTTTCGTTCTTTCTCACTTCACAGCATTTCAAGTTTAAAACTGCTCCAGACGTCTCGAAAGAGGAAGATTTGCAACTGAGACGATGGTGTTCTTTGCGAACATCACAAGCTTGTCAGTGTACTTTGTTTAAAAATCTGTTCATGGAGAGACATAAACTTTATCTGTATTTATGGTTCTTGTGAAATTCATGCTGGGATGCATGCCCAGTCAACTACCAAAGCATCCAGGATAAAAACATGAAGACCAAGAGCACTAGCTTTGTGCTCGGCCTGAACTCGGTTGAAGACTGTTGAGGTTTAACACAAACATGAACAGACACAGACACACAGATTAGAATTGTTATAGATGAAGACCTCACTCACTGCCCAAAGATTCCAGAGTCCTGATCTGATTCCCAGAAAACGCAAAATGAAACAGAATGAGTTCTTACAGCTGTTTAAAGTTTACAGCTTCCTGTTGTGGATGATCCAACTGGGAAAATAAATAACAGTTTTTATATTTGATAAGTTTTTGTTTTGCTGTTTGTCACATCTACTTGATCCTGTTCCCTCTCTGCCTCCTCTGAGAGCTGTAATCCATGGCATCAGTTTAACCTAAACCAGGTGTATTTTAGTCTCAAATAAATTAATATATTGTTAAATCCACCAATTTTTAATGATTTCTCATTTCTTGGTTTTGTTCCTATTGTTGTCGCATTTGTTTTATATATATACTATGTTTGACGGTGCACATTAATATTCTCTTTTCAGTGACATTTCCAATATCTTCCCAAACGATATAAAATGTAAACCCACAGTTTAACAGTTTTTAGTTCTCTTTGCACAAATGCACTCAGTGTATTTCACCAGTTATGATGTGTCAAAATGTCTGCTGTGGAAAAAGTCCAATGAAAATAAGTGTTTGGAACTGGTCTCGTCTTGAGCCTCTTACACAACAACGTTTACCAAATGCCAGATAAATAATGGCCTTCGATATTAAAGCTGATAAGTTACATTGGTACTTCTTTGTAAAGAGCCAGTTTCCTGTAAAACAATCACCTCTTTGCTAGGGAATTACAAAGGGAGGATGAGGGCCATAAAAGAGAACAGGAAACCAAACATGGGAGTTACACGCACATAGGAAACTTTAAGTTGTGAGGTCAAATGCACGACTGCTATCAAAACCCTTGTTTATACAGCATTTATAAAACTGCCGTCTTCAGGACTTAACAAAGTCATTTGGACTTAATCAGAAATATCTTCATCATACCCAGAGAATACGTGGTATTCCATTACTATAGATGAATTGTGGTTCATTAATGATCATATCAAACTACTGTCTTTCATGTGAACTTGAAACTATAAGTTTTGCCAAAGTATCATCGTCTTGGATCCATTCAGTCCAGATGGTATTTTTCCAGTATTGATATAACATCCTGCAGTCGAGGCTCATTAGTTGAGTGGTTAAAATGTTTTGCTGATTCAGATGAGGGAGCTCTTTCTTCACCTCGTATCCCCCAGCTGCTTAGTTGTTAATTATTCAACCCGCTGATGAATCTTTCAGACGTACCAAACGATGCGGAGGAACAAGGTCAACAGGTAAACAAGATGAGATCAGGGATAAGAGTCAGGGATAGTTTAACATGTCACTGAGAGAAGCTCAGTACAAGTGTCAGCTTTTAACAACACATGATGTCTCATTCGTTGCCTCGACCAAGGAGCTGATGTTTTCATCTGTGTTTGTTTGTTTGCTGGATTACACAAAAATCAGGATCAGGGGGCGGATCCAGGTTTTAAATCGTATTTTTTTACTTTATTTAACATTGTTAATTTATTTCATCATTTTCATTGATTCTTCAGAGAAGTGATGGATTTTGATGAAAAAATGAGGCATGTTTAGAGGACCGATATTTAATTTGGTGACTTTAAATGTGGTTTCAGAAGGAGACTGTTGACACTCTACTGAGTACCATAGTTTTCAATATACTGTATACATCACAGAACATGTGATGATCTTTGAATTGTTTTCAATGCTCCTTGTAATTACGTGACAATCTTTGAGCCCAGAAGAGGCCTCAGTCAGTCATTCCCAAAATTCATCTTCCTCTTCTGTCTTCATATTCAGTTTCAGGGGTTCCTCCCTCAGCTAATTTAAAAGACAACTAGATGTTCAATGACCTTAAGAATTAATTCTTAACCTGAATCGATCAAAGATCAAGCGCCACATGTGATACAGTGGAGAGCTGCAGAATAAATGCAATAATAGAAGTGATGTGGCCCCAAAAGGAGTAAACAACATGTATTTTTCAACATCATTCCTACAGTTTTGCCCCCTGATGTTTTTCTGTTTGGATTTTTTTATGCATGAGTTTGTTTATTGCTGTACACCACATTCTACTGTTGTTTTTTCAACTCTTGTTATGTCTCTGTGGACATTAAATGGGCCATATTGCACCCTGAGGCTTGTGTATCCCCTGCTGCAGCCCAAATGTCTACAGAAGGGGAGAGCGAGAAACAGAGGGACGGGTAAATGAACAGAAACATAGGAAGAGAGTGACGTATGCATTTGTTTGGAATAAACAGGACTCACACCTCTTCCAAAAAGGTTCTGTGAAACCCATCAGAGTTCCTGCAGAGGTTGTCGTGATGCATGATGGAGCTGGTTGCGTAACTGCGGCTCAGCACATGCAGGTGACACTTGCTGTGGCACACAGAGGACACAAAAGTAGCAGAGGAGTTAAAGCAGGCTGATGTTGCAGAGAGGGGGGGAAGGGAGCGATGGAGTGAAGATACTTTTCCTCTCTTTCCCTGGAGCAGAGGAGAAAGAGACCCAGATGTCAGAGAACAAAAAATCCCCGGAGAAACCAGAGCAAAAAATAAATAAATCTGCTCATTTCTCAGCTTTGTGCAACACAGTTCGTGAGAGTGTCTAATTGGCTTTTGTACATTAACATCACTGCATACTCTTGCCCTGCGTCCCTGGACATCTGCTGTGAGAGTCACGACTCTGGGTGTGCAGATGGGATGAGACTGAGGGGTTGACACGCTTCTATTTCCAGCGTTGTTCCTTTTGAACTTTGCTATTATTACTTTGACTACAGTCAAATACTCCATCATGCTCATGCTTCAGTCGTAGCTACACCCAAATGATGCAGCCATGTTGTTCAAACGACAAAAGTGGGAGAGCTTTAATCAAGTGTGCATTTTGTTTATATGCACAAGTTAAAATTAAATTAATGGTATGAAAATAATTTGAGAGGGAAATATTCATTATGTCTTAAAACTTCCATAAGTAGGGCGGTGTTTGGGAACATGAATATTAGATGAGTCTAATAATAATACATCTTATTTCAAGATGCCTCTCTAGACACCCGGGGACACAATGTTTCAGAAACACATGAATTATAAAGGATAATTGATATTTGGTGCAGTGAAGTGTCCACATCTTTCAAAATGTAATAGTTTCTTTAACATCATTTTCCATTCTCACATTCTTCTGTTTCCTGTGTCTCTTTCACTTGGTTGTTTGAGGAGACATGGAGCTGCATGTCCCTGAGAGAGACCACTGTCCACTGGTATTAAAATCACAGCAGCCACTTGTTGAGTTTTGAGTGAACATGCGAGAACACAGACACTCGAGCAACTGTTCATTCACATACAAATTGAATGATGCACCTCCAGCGGCTCACGATGCCAGAAATGATCCGTAGTGACGTACGTCTTAATGAACTTGCTGCGCAATAACGCAGCGCTGTCATCCAAAGTTAGAGACGCGTGCGAGGCGTCGCACTGACCAGGATCACCAGGCTCCAGTCACGGCTCCTGCAGACGCACGATCAGGCTCCTGCAGCTGGACCGTGCAGCGGTGATGGAGTGTGTGGAGTAGAGAGGGAGGAACAGAGAGAGAGGGGTGGGTGGGGGGGATCCTCCACTGGCTGATGCTGATGCACCTGCCTTCTTCTCCTTTTACGCGACCCCCAGCCTCCAGCACACTCACTTCGCCTCTCGAGCGCGTAAAGTCGAACGATGAGCTCCTCTCTTCCAAAAAGCGAGTCCGCTACTTCTCTGCTCAGGTCGTCGGGGCTCAACCGCAGGTCCGCGCACTCGGATCACGGACCACACGGTCACCGGAGTCACCGCTCAAACCATCACCATCCCACCGGAGCTGGAGACGGACATGACGCAGGCTGGACGGAAGACTGCGAGCCGAGTGCGCGCAGACCCCTCTGCCGGCCAAGACACGCCGACTCCCGAGGAGGGGATCACCACCGGGCGCAGAAGAGCCACTCTCACAGACAAGCCAGCCTCCTGGAGGATGGTCACCCTCCAGAGGATGCGAGGCTCCGAACGAGCCGACATCAGAAGGAGCGCAGCAACTCCACCAGGTCCAAACACCCTCATCCTCAGCACGACTCCCCGAGAGGTGATCACCAGGGCAGGAGGACCTCTCCAACTCCGTCTTACCCAAAGCACACGGACGATGCAGATTTCTTTTTCGAGCCCAGGGAGAGAGTGATCACCGGCTCATCCTCCAGCCTCAACTCGGAAACACCTGCCTCCGGTGCACCTGTCCGGCCCGCGGCGCGCAGGACATCCAAGAGACTGAGCGGGACCCCGTCTGAATACGACTCCAGGCTCCATCCCATAGTGAAGTCAGTGTTTGGCCAGGTAAGGAAGGAAATGACACCCTGTGAAAAGGTGAAAGTAGAAGCACAACTCAAAACTGCAGAAATTTAAACAAGTATCAATTAAAACATTTGATAATTTGTAGAAATGCAAAATAAAATTCTTTCCAGTCGTCAAATCACTAAGAACTCACTGCGGTGAGTGTGTGGGTGTATTATCTATATCTTCAATCACGTTTCACACTCAGAGATTTTGCCTTCATAGGCTACAACTTCAGTCATCAATGTCTTTCACTCAGGTCAAATTGATCTAAATTACATAATCTCAATGGGCTTCACAGCCTCATCAACGGTAAGATTCAGCTCCAATGGATGTGGTGCTCAAATAGAGGAGCCATCCTCATTTGCAGAAAGTGGAGCCATCGATGGGGAAATTGCAGCCAACAAAAGAGCTAATTTATAAAGTCCATGAAGGTATTTATTCAATATTAAAGTTAATATGATCGTCACTAATTCCAGTATTAGAGGGGCCAGGGTTACTCTCAGTCAACATTATCCACATATTATATTTGAAAGTAAAATGTTTTATATGGTCGATTATTAAAAGTGCATCACAAGTGCAGAAGCAGCTTTACAGGCGAGATGACACATTGTGACTGAACCTGCAGTCGCCTCAGTGCAGCTGATTAAAAATAGATGCATGCTTTCAATCCAAATCTGGATGGCGGGGTCGGATGGGGGTGGTTGGTTCGAAGGGTGGGTGCTCATGTATCCCAATGTGATCTTTCATTGTGTCTCTGGATCAACTTTCTTTGGAAAACTCTTTCAGTGATGAGACCTTGTCAACACACACACAGACACACACACACACACACACACACACACACACACACACACACACAGTCACACACATTTGTGCAGCTATCCTTATTAGGACTTTGAGTTGACTTCCTAACTTCTAAACCAGGACCTCAGAAATCACATTTTGAGTGACTTGGCTTTGGTCCCCACAAGGTGAACTGGTCCTGAACAGGTTGCTGTTTCTCCGGCAGAAGGTCCCTAAGAAGGCCATAAAAACAAGTACTCACTGACACANACACACACACACACACACACACACACACACACACACACACACACACACACACACACACACACACACAGGTAAGTTAATCCTCACCCTGACACCACATTCAGTTCTGATAAAATAGAATTAGATGTAAAGGTTGTATCTCTTCTTCCCTGCATCACCTGTTCACCACTAACACATCACTTTTCCAAGAGGCGCCATACTTCCCCCTGTCCACACAGATCTCCCACAGCTGCAGAATATCCCGTCTCTCATTTTCTCTTTCTTGTGTCGTTGAAATCCTTCTTTCTGCGTTGATGATAAAAAGCTCAAGAGGAGACAATTACCTCCCTGTGCGCTAATGTGTTCCAGAAATAACTCCTCTCAATCCAGGCCAGAGCTTCAATCAGTTTTAGGGGTTCCGGTGAGGGCAAAAATCTGTGCGCTGCTTGTGTCGTTGTGCATTTGAAGGGTTGGGATGGCTGCTGCAGTTCTGGATGAGTGTTGAATAAGATGAAACAGGAATAAAAAAACAATTATTCATCTCAGAAGTTTATAAGCAAAGTGACTGTGACTATATTCTGTAACTGGATCATCAAGTTATTGAAGCACAGGCTCGTTTGTGTGTTTTCTGTGATGTCGTCACTGTGAAGCTCAGTCATGTCTGACACAGCGGCCAGTGACTCTGTGAGTGGACAAAAGTTAGTTGTGCGCATCAGTGTTTGTGTGACAGGAAGACAGAGAGAGGGAGAGAGAGGAAGAGAGAGTGAGTGGGTGAATGTTTACTCAAGCCGTTTCATTGTAGTGACCACACACACACACACACACACACACACACACCCTTAATGCTCTCTGAATACATGTGACAGTGCGCAGCAGAACGCAGGGTGAGATATGGCACACTCCTGGTAACTCTTTTCTATTTTTCTTATGTAACATCAAGATCTGCATAATATTCCAACTGAACTCCTTCAGTGCACCAAGCTAAAAATAGCACATCAGGACCTGATTATGAAAAACTGGAGGAGGGCTGGAATTATTTCTTCCTTTTTCTGCATTTGCCTGAAAACATTCACATCTTTTGGCAAATGTGTAACCTGACAGAGCCAATCTGAGAAATAAAGAGCAAGTCTGCAGCAGGAGGAGATGTGTCTCCGAGCTACCAGTTTATAATCCCAGTATTCATTAGATGAATCACGATTACCAAAAGGCTGGTGTGGGGGGTTAGGAATATGATCTGCAGCTTGGGGGTTATAGATAGGTTTTGCGATTCATTAAATTTGACTAAACTCGTTTGAGTCTTAAAGGTCACACCAGAAACCTTGATGAAGGACAGAACGCGAGCTGTTTTTTTTTGTCCCTGCAGAAATGTAGTTTCTATTTTTAGAGATTCTCCATTCTCAGATTTGGCGACCTTCTCTGACCTTGTTGTACAAATCCTCGCAGGAAAGCTGTAGCATGCAGCAGAGACGGTTTTTAGAAGACGTCTGTTATCCACTGTTGAGAAATTACTATTTAAAGACTTGTTTTTTTTTTCAAATTAAATATAGATGAAAGGATATGTGTGTTAACCAGCAGAGGGAGCAAGTACTGTTTTGTACTAATAGGTTTGAACTCAGTGTGTGTTTGTGTGTGTGTGTGTGAAAGAGAGAGAGTCAGGGGGGATTAACAGCCCGCTGTGTGTCACATCAGGGAAAAGTGACAGAGCAGGAGAAGAAAGTGAAGAAGGCAAGGATGAAGGACAGAGCAGGAAAGAGAGGAGAGTTTCTTTGCTGGAAGACTTGATGGTCGTTATATAATTCACTTATCAGCTCTCACTTGCCTGCTCCCACCTGACAGGTCCGAGGACAATGTGAGGAAAGGTCCTCACACACAGATTAGCTCCTCACTTCCTCCTGCAACTCATCCTTACTCTCGCAACTGCTGACGTTTCCTGTCTCTCTGTCCCTTTCCCCGTGTTTTACAACACCTCACTTCCTCTCATCCCTCGTTCTCCTGCCGGGGTCACGCTGACCTTGATGACATCTGAGAGGAAATAACAAGACAGAAGAGGTGTGAGGAAAAAAAAAGAGATTCTGAAAAGAAGCAGATATGAACGAGAGGAAAAGAGAGCGTAGCATCTTCGTATTCACCACAGGCATATGCTTCCAGTATGTGGAGGGAGGCTATTTTTAGACACACATGGGTATTTTTATATCTCTGCCGGCAAAGGAGGAGGTAGAAAAATCATTCTTTGGTTAAATCCCTTTTTTGAGATGAGGATTAGGCGGTGAGATGTAAGAGCAACGTTGAGTGTATATGCGTCTACTTGATAATGCTGAATATTTATGGCGGCTGGGAAGGAAAATCAGTGAGAGACACAGCGAGACAGAGGATAAGGGATAAATGAGTCAGAGGAGAAAAAAACAATAGAGGTTTAATTGACTGGAATGAGACTTTTCTCTATTTTTTTTTACCCCACTTCTGACGCACTAGACCTTTAATTAGACTAACAGCTGGAATAATGCTGCCACGCCAGAATAATCAGCATGAAAGTTACAGATTTGAGCTCCTCTGATTTGAATGAATTAATCGAACGAAGGATTAAACTGTGACGTCTCAGCTCGAGCACAAGATGGCACAGGATGACGCAAGTGTGCATTTTTGTGTTTTTTTTTTATGTCCTCCGATGACGACAAAAACATACGCACAAAAACTCTCATGGTCACTTTTTATCACAAATCTCTCTGTTGTCTCGTCATTCAGACACTCAGTGGCTTGAATTACTATTTTGACCACAAATGATTATATTTCTTCCCATTTTGCAAAAGAAAGGACTTGCAATGATTATTTTCTTATCTTAAAAAAGAACAGGAAGAAAAAGGTTGATGATAATGAACCCCTGAGAGAGTCCCCTTCATCTACATCTCGATGGCAGTAGATTAAACAATGATTTGAAAGCAAAAGGAATTATTGATATTCTCTCTTGGAATGAGCCTCTTGTCTAGTGCATGCATTTTGCTTCATTTGCATTGTTTGCACAGATAATATGTTGCAAGAATGTTAGAAATCATGAAAATGATTTAGTTTAATGGCTCTGTATCACATTGATAACCAGATAATGTTTTTCTCCTGAGATTTCAGCATGAAAGCAGTTATGTAAATGTTTTAAGTCTTTAAGTGGGAGAGATGGTGAGGAAGAAAGAGAAAAATATAGCCAGAGAAAGAGAGAGAGAGAGACAGAGAGGAGAGATGGATCTCATGCCCGTGCACTGTGGGCTGACATTATGTGAACTGACGGCTCCTGTGTCTGTCGTCTGATGTGTTCTGAAGTTCACAATGAGCCTCCGGTGAGAGGATGGATGAATCATCCGCAGAGGAGCACAGAGGAGCCGCGGAGATGCTGAATGGGAGCGAGATCTGAAACGGCTCCGGCGTTAATGTGTTCATTAAAAATAGCAGAGAATAGACAAGGTCGAACGTGGAGAGGGAAACACGGAAGTACACTTGTGCCACAGTCACCTCTGGAGTGAAGGCTTCCAGTTTTAAACCCCCCAAAGCATGGGTAAAAGCTGGATGTTGTGCTTTGTCATTTTTGAAGCAGTGGTGGAAGAAGTGATTGAACCCATTAAAAGTTTGGTTATGCTCATTGTTATGACGTTTGAGCTTCACTGTGCACAATGATGCCCGTGCTTGAACCTTGTTTTCACAATGCAAAGATCTATGTAGATCTATGAGCAGTAGTTTTAACAGATTACATTTTTACATTTTTGTGTAAAAACCACATCAGACACAAATTATTATTCAAAGCAAAGAATCTTTATACGTCTTCAACTGGTGGCAGGACACTATAAAAATAATCCACTGTAAATTCTTTAAAGCTTTTTCTGGAGAATGGTTTATATTCTTTAATACAAGTGTATCTCACATCTCACATTTTATGTATAATACTTAAACATTTTCACTGTTTGCCACTGGTTTTTAGAGATCCTGACTTTTGACGGTTAAGTTGTGTGTTTGTGTGTGTGTGTGTGTGTGTGAAAGGCTGAAAGAGAGCATTTACTTGCCTCACTCTCTGTGTGTGTTTGCATTTGCACATCCTTGGTGGTTCAGCATCCTTTGTCATTTCTTGCACATTTTGGCTTTCATACGAATTCAAGCCCTTCAAGCTTAACATGACTTTGTGATGCTTTTACATCATTGTGTGCGTGTGTCTGTGTGTTTGTGTGGGAGAGAGAGAGATAGAGAAAGAGAGAGTGGGGATAGATGTTGAGGGTAGAGTGGGGAGAGAGGGGGGAAGAGAAAGCGTGTTATATTTTTAGCTTCACAGCCCCTCATCCATGTGTGTTTAATCGAGTGTGTGTGTGTATGTGTGTGTGTGTGTTTGGATTAGTGTCTCCAGCATCTTGCTCAGGGGAAGGTAATGTTGTCCGAACGAGCCTCTTCTGTCACATTCGCATAGATGGTTTTAAAGCGTTGGGGAGAGGGTGAGGGAAAAAGAGCAAGGGACAGACGGACGGACAGAACGAGAGAGAGGAAGAGAGAGGGAGAGAGAGAGAGAGAGAGGGAGGGAGAGAGTAAGATAGGGTCGAGGGGAGGGAGGGAGGGAGGAAATACACTGTAGGAGAGAGGATGGAATGAATAAGCAATCTTGCTTTTTCTACTCCTGGCGCTTGCATCTCGCTCTGTCCACATGCATGCTCCCTCTCCCTCGCTTATCTTTTTGTTTTTCTGATCCGTCTTTGTTCTTGTTTACACGTTTCCTCCTTTGTCTCAGTGTCCCTCCCCTCATACCTCCCAGTGTCCTTGCCTGTGGGTCTTCCCTGCACACATCTCCGTCCTCTCCCTCCTTACCTCTCTCCACCTCTTATGATACCCCCGCTCCGCTCCCTGCATTTTCCCAAACGTCCTCTTGTATTAGTCAATGACCCACTGAACCCTCTCTCCCTCTCTAGTCACTCCTATTCCCATGCATGCCCGGACACATATGCAAACACACATGCATACACGTGCACTCGCATACAGGCACACCAACACAGACACAGTTAGAGAGAAAACATAGAACGAGAAGGATTTTTCTTTTTTTGCAATGGGCAACTCTGTAAAGTCGCTCAAAATTTTCACCAAGAAGGTAAGGTCGGCTCTGAGGTTTTTCATTTGGCTGTGGTCTCCTTGAATCCCCTGCATGTTGTCTCATGGTGTGGCCCCCAACCTGACTGAAGGCTTTTTGACCGGACTTGTACTGAGTGACTGCTTGTGTCTGACTGGACCGTTGCCCTGTGTCTTGTGTCGCTGGAGACCAAACACAAAGGAGGACAGATGAAGGATATTTTAGACAAATATTACATCTCATGCTTTATTTTAGTCATTATTTGCAGTAGAGCATCTTAGTCTTGATTGTTGATGCAGGACCTTGTTGACTGCCTTTAAAACTCATTCCGTGTGGATCACACTGCTGTGTTAATCTGACATTTGCATCCTATTATGAGTCTTTTTGGATAAACGTCATCTCGGTACTAATCGCTGTGTCGTTTCGCTCCCTGGAAAACAAATCTCGGATAGATCAGAGAAGCTGCTGCTTGATCTTGACCTGTTGGCCGAGTTGAAAATATGTGAATTTAGATCCTGTTGATAAACTTTAGAGTTGTCCAGATCGAGTCAGTGATTCAGAATTAATTACTCAATGCCCGCTTCGCTTGTACAATACATGTCTTGCATTCACTGTCCTCATTGTATTCCTGCAAAGACACTCAGACAATCCCACAAATAAACTTTCTCTCTTCATATCAGCAGCTGCACATCCTTGAGGAAGCACAGCATGACGAGCAACTGTTGACGCCATCTGTGCATAATGGGATGGTTTGCTGGAGAAGTTCTTGCTTGACTACAGCCCTTTTTGGGGGGTGGGGGTGGGTTGTTATATAACTGCAAGCGCGTGGCTTCGTAGTACTTTTTCTGGCACGATATACCCGAAGACAGCCCTGCTCCATGCCTCACTTGGTCAGATTACCCGGTGGGCATCCGTTCCTGTGGTGGGGACTTGGAATGCATGAACTGGCATTAGAGGTTAGATGGCAACAGATGGAGAGTGAAGGTCATTTGCAGAGCATAATAATACCACGTGTGACTGCACGTATTACACAAATGCATATTCATTTTCTTTTATTCTGTATGCATGCAAATGTGTCATTCGCTTTGCTGCGCCATCCATCTGAAGATGGGCACTAGCTCACGTCTGAGAGATTTGAAGCAGCAGCAAAAATGGCCTCTGGGTAATTCGCTGTGACACGAGTAGACTTCTCGTGCTTGTCGCTGGATTTTTAGCCACTGAGTTAGATGTTGGTAATTGACGCCCTGACGAGCATTTTAGTGTTTCATTAGCGTGAAGAGATGCTAGTGTTTAAATGCCGTTTATATCTGCTTGGAAAAAATGGGTGGAATGGGCTTCTCTAATTCAGATATCAGTCAGGTTGGATGTTCGGACTTTATTCTGCAGTTGGTTGATTTCTGTGAGAACAACCTTTGTCCTGTAGTTGACAGGCTAATTGGTGATTATAATCAAACAGCTGACTAAACCTCAACATAATCTTGTAGACAACATGATGATTTTGTGCATAAAGTCTCCTCCAAATGAACCTGTCTGACCACAGGGTTTCTGACAGTTTGTCACTGCAGTTACTGTGGTGAGTGAATATTATTTTAGGAGTTAGAGCAGCAGATGGAAAAATACAAGAATTAGACCTTTGAATCCTTTAGTAAAAAGTGTGCAGGCGACGATTGGAACAAACTGATTCAAGAGCAGTTGCATGAGGCCGAGAGACGTGTTTGGTGAAATGAAAACAGGCAGTGGACTGTTGCTATGGAGGCTTGGTGCTGTTCTGTTCTCAGAGTCCTGAGGTGCTTTCCTCCATCATGACAGACCTGACTACACCTCTGCATGACTGACAGACCTCCGATCCTGCTTTAGAACCCCCTCCATCCCACCTCCATGTTCGCTCCATGCTACCACAATCTGAGTCACGGTCTCTACCCCTGTCTTTGCCCCTGCTCCCATGTCTGGCCCCCCTTCCCCCGGATGCTGCTCCAGGACCAGAAGAAGAACTACAAAGCAGTGCAGTCCTGTGAGGAGGGGGGCTCTGGGGGGGCCTATCTTGAGCCGCTAGTGGCCCTGGCCCAGAACGGAGCCAACATGCACAACGTGCTGGGGCCCGCGTGCATCTTTCTACGCAAGGGCTTCGCTGAGAGCCGGCAGGCTGTACGTAAGTCCAGAAAATATCATGTGCATGCATGCCAGGAGAGATTAGCACACAATGCAGCACACACACAGTAACTGGAAGTCACCATGAATGTGTGTGGTAATCACCTCTCACTGTAATGTCAGCACTAAGAGCATGTAAGTCAGCGTGGTGCAACTGAGAAGATGGTATTGTGACAATGTGTCACTTAAAGTGTTTGTGTATGTGTGTGTGTACTTGTTTGTGTGTGCCTGAGGCTGCATTCCCCATAAACACTTGGACATTTGTCAGAGGATTATTAAATCATGATAACAGCGGTGGCACAAATGATTTTTACCTGGCGATTTTTTCTATGAGCCTGTTTCCAGCTGTGATGACACATGTCAAGGTCTTGCCATTATAGAAAACAGGGATGTTGAACTCTTCAATGTAGACGACTGCGGGTTTTCTTCCAAAGACCAGTTCTCAGATGGTTGTTGGTGTTGAGATTGAGTCATTTTAGTTGAATGGAGCTGCAAATAAAAGAAGAAATAAAAGAACTACTGAATATGTTGGATTTTTCTGTCGTCCCTGGATATCCACGCAAGCAGCATTCATGAAAAAACCCATAGCTACACCACAGATACAGCAAACATGTCAGATTCCTGTATATTCTTAGACATCCTATATTATTAAATATCTAATCTTCTTTCAGCTACTTTACTTTTATCTCAAAACCTAACTATGTGTTATTATTTACCCAAGTATCTCAGAGTGCCAAGTCTCTACACGTTTTATTGCGTCCAAACACTTCAGCAGGAGGTCTCAAAGCTCTTCCTCTCTGGCTGGAGGGAAACCTGCAGACTCTTGGCACTGTGGCACATATTGTAGTTGCCTATGTATTTCATTTTCAGTGTTGTGTGAGGAATGATGCACATTGGCATGATTTTTTAAATTATCAGCAGATTTTGATTCCTGACTCTGCACTGTGTTCCTTCACAGGACCGAGAGTTGAGGCCAGAAGAAATGGATGGTACGTTACAATTCAGGACTGTTAAGAATGCAAAGTAAAAATCGTGAGATCATTTTAAGTTTGATCAAACATTCATGCCTGATTTCTCCACCTCTTAGAGTTGCGTGAGGCTTTCAAGGAGTTCGACAAAGACAAAGATGGCTTCATCGGCTGTAAAGACCTGGGGAACTGCATGAGGACTATGGGCTACATGCCAACAGAGATGGAGCTGATAGAGCTGAGTCAGCAGATCAACATGAACTGTGAGTGAAACTGTGGATTATTTCCACTTTTACAGCCGATTTAAACACAAGGTTTCAGCCGGAGCATGATTAAAAAAGGTGTTGTCGTTTTGTCTCTACTTCCTCCTCTCCCTCTTGTCTCACAGTGGGAGGACATGTCGACTTTGAGGACTTCGTTGAACTCATGGGGCCCAAACTTCTGGCTGAAACTGCAGATATGATTGGGGTGAAAGAGCTGAGAGATGCATTTAAGGAGGTGAGGAATGTGAAAAGGTCAAAAAATCTATATAATGGCTATAGAATAAAAAAAAAATTCAATGTCAGATTGCCATGACACTTATGCATGTCTTGATTCCATTTTGATGATTGCTTCTATTATTTGTCTTTTTTCTCTTCATTTCAGTTTGACACAAATGGCGATGGCCAGATCAGCACAGCAGAACTTAGAGAGGCAATGAAGAAACTTCTTGGACAACAGGTACAGAACTCCTGGGAGGATCACTGCGTCTGTCTCAGTCTTATTTTTCCACTCAATATTTGAATATGAGTTTACACCGTATAAACATCCTTAAACACGATCTGTGCTCTCCAGGTTGGACACAGAGATCTGGAGGACATCCTACGAGACATAGATCTCAACGGAGATGGACACGTAGACTTTGAAGGTGAAGGATAACATCCACCATCGTTTGCAGATTACACATATTTATCTTCCTTCCTGGTTGATCTAAACATGCATAAACGTTTCAAATCCCAGCATGTGTCGAGCTGGAATCCCAACACCACGCTGATGGTGAGGTGTGGGGATGAAGGCAGTAGGTCTGTCTGTCAGATTATCTCCATACCAAGGGATTATGCCACCTCATAGATTACACACAGAGAAACAAATGCATGCAGGCTGCCAGGGATAAAAATATCAGAAAATGCAAACTTAGAGGGTTAGATTTCAGAGGGGAGAAAAACATTAAACACTGTGACTTTTAGTTCCAAGTGCTGAATAATATTTTTAAGTAGTTAAAACTCACAGAGAGCTGAATTGTAACCAGTTGATGTACAAGTTCATTTTTGTTTAGATTGTGTGATTTTTTGTGATTGGATGTGCGAAACAAAAAAACAAAAGAAACCAAACAAACCTACAACCACTGAGGTTATATGGTTACTTTGCTTTCCCACATGCAGTTCATGTCTATTCTGCAACCTGTGTCACTGCATTATCCCTGTCAAACAAACTAATAAATAAATAAAAACATACACCAGTGCAGCTTCATATATTTTACTGTAGATTTCATTAACATAGGTGAATTTCTTTCTTCTTTTTCATTTACAGAGTTTGTGCGGATGATGTCTCGGTGAGTTTGCAGCCGAGGAGGAGCCGAGACGTTAAAAAACCAAACGTGGAGGAACAGGAGCGAGATCGGCACAGAGCACTGATGGAGCTTGAACTTCTGAAACTGTCGATGAACACAAAATCAAATACATATCAACCCCTGGCCTGAAACTGCCACGCTGAAGCACAGAGGCTGACCACTGTTGCCAGGAGCCACACTGCTGATGACGATATGCTGCTGCTGTTTCTTATTGAGCATTAAAACGATCAACAGCTGCATTTCTAACTTTTACAAAGTATATTTGAGAAAAAAAAAAGAAGCCTATTTTCCTTCAGTGACGACATTTTTAATGACGATGTGGTTTCTGACCCAAGGGGCAACGTGATGTTTGTGTCATTTTGCTCAGACACTATTTATAACAGTAGCATTTAAGAGGAACGCATTTGCACCAACAGTATGCCAGCAAACACCACACACACAAATACAACACATTCCTTTATAATGCCGAGAAGCACAAATACAATTATAGCAATATGGAAAATATTTCATGTCATCCTGTCGAAACTGTGCGTTTGTGTTTTGTGCATAATGTATTTTTCTCTCTTCACTCTAAACTGTAGAATTATTATCTCCCGAATTAAATCTTAAAATCAATCAATAAATAATATATAATTTAATATATATAATATATAAGCTTATTTTCCTTTAGTAATGACATTTCTATAATGCCAATGTGGGTAATGTGATGTTTGAGACAGTTGTTGAACCCTGATTAAGGCGAGCCAATGTTTTGTAGTTATATGTAATGTAGCACTGGCGCAGTTTATTCTGCCTCTCTTACTGTGATATGTATCTGTAACTTTCAGTGTGCATAATGTGAACAGATTCTTTTCGACTGCAACGTTTCCTGACTACTGTGATGGGCCTTTTTAAATTCCAGTATATTTTACTGATTCTGAATATTACTTTGCATGAATACTAAATACTAAAAAACCCATCTCTACCTAACTCACAGTGGTAGATCATCAACAGAGACTATACAGCGGAAAGATGGACATTATTATGGACGTTATTATTATTATCAGAGAGCCCTGATACATGTGCTTGTTTTGAGGATATTATGAATCTACAGGTTCTGAAGTGATTTTCACTTTGGTGGATTTTCACTTTTAACTTTGGTACCTCAAAATCAATTGAAGGATCAACCTCAGCCATCAGCTGCCCCTATAGCACAATCTCTACTTCCAAGTTTTTGTACCTCCCCCCTACGTTCATTATCAATATTCATATTCTAAAAAAGCCAAAGAAAGTTTCTAAAAATGTCATTTGAGTCTTATGCAGTGAATTAAGATTATGCAGTATGTTCTAGAAATATGATTCACTGGATCTTATTTTCAAAATTGCTGTTGAAATGCCCTTTGGTTGCTGGGGCAGTGAAATTATTACTGACTGTTCCTGACTGGGCATGGGTACATATGCATGCTCTAAAGCTAAGGTATTCTTCTAAAGGGAAATCTTACTTTGTGATTTTACTTGTCTTAACTGTCTGAAACTATGCATGCTAGAGAACAATGGCAATTTGTAGCATAAATAAATAGAATATAAATAAAGGTTTTTATTGGACAGACTAATGTGTTTCTTCTCTTGACTATTTTGCCCAATATTAATTTTAACATTCTTTCTAGAGCTACACAATGCTTTGCATATACATGGGAATAAAACAACACAGAACAACACTGAAATGTGAAATATAACATAAAAGAAAATCCAAAAACAAACAACATCCGTTAAATCTGTATCTGTTAACATAAACAGCTGGTGTCTTTAAAATATTGAGCACTTTTTGCATTTCAACAAACTGGTGAGGTCATGGTTATTTCCCAGTCTTTGGTTATCGGGGTTGAGAGTGTGTTGGGTATGTGTCTGTTGTCAACATCTTGATCGTCCCCTGGTGGCCGACACACTCCGTCACACAAATCTCCATGGATGCTTGAAGGTTTGCTTCTCCTTCTGTTCCCTCTGTTCCTGATCCTGCAGCACCATCATAACAAGCTCATTGATCTTAATATGTCATATATATTCTATAGGGTATTGGCTAATGCATGGGTATTGGATAGTTTTTACTCATTAATATTAGTGTTTGAATGGGCCCCCCCCAAAAAAAAATCCACGTTGGTCAGGTTGTAAGTAATAGCCTGCTGTTGGTTAGATCACAACACTTTTCATTATTTTAGTTTATTATTGTCTATTTTATTTTTTATACTCATATTATTGTTTCCAAGAACAATGTTCAATACCCTCACTGTTTTAAAGTGTAATGTCAGTATTGGCCCACAAATACCCACATCGGTCAGGCTCCAATTAATAGTCTGCAACATTTACTTAGAATATGTTTTGCTTTTTCATTATTATTATTATGATTTGAATAATCAAACCAATATCCTCATGTTATGAGGTGTAGTGTTTATATTTGTTGAAAAAATCCATATCATTCCAATTAATAGTCTGCTGCTGATTGGGTTATTATTATTTAATTATATTTATTATTTTAAAAAATATTATTATGATAATATAATCCATTATTATTATTATTATTTAATAAATATTCAAAACCCTCACTGTCATTTAGTGTAGTGTCACCAAAACCTGTCGACTCATGATTGGTCTCCTGTTGTATGACTTGACTTGAGTCTGGTCCTGGTTGATCCTCGGTCTGTCTGGAGCTGCTGTGTCTGCAGCACCAACATGCGGTGTCTCCATGACTCTGACCCGGGTGGGGAGTGATGGGATCGTGGGTCTCACTGCTGCAGACACTCGGGCTGTGGAGGAGTTGTGTTTGCTGTGGTTTCCTGCTGTTTAAAGCTGATAACAACCAAACAGAGCCTGAGAGGTTCCTGAGCTTCAGTCATGACAGAGACCAGATGGAGAAACGTCTGTGACCGTCTGTCGCTTCAATCCTCCTCCGATCAGCTCTGACGCTTAGTGCGTTAAATCCGGAGCACGGTCAGAGCTGCCTCATTTGGTGAAGTTGTGCTAATGTGTTGCTAAAGTGCTGCGTCTAGATATCAGTGAACCTACATCCTGAACTCTTGCCATCACTCTGGAGTCTTTTCAGTGTTTGCCATCTTTATCGTTTTGTTTTATCCTTTGTTTAACCAGGAAGACAAGATTTCTCTTCTGTCAGGGAGAGCTGGCTCAAGGTGAGCAGCAATGAGGTAAGACATTTTCAAATATACATGAAACAGGGTTGAATAAGATAAAAGAAGATAATCCTTTATCAGTCTCACATTGGGGACATTTGCAATATTACAGCAGCAAGAGATAAACACTGACTGATAATCCAGTGTTAGTTTACCTGCACAGCTCACAGTTGAACTCTAGCTGTGAGTCAGTAACTCACAATGGACTCCCTCATTATAATTGACTCTCTGCACTCAGCCACTTTGTGTCTGACAGTTTACATAAACCTCGCTCCACATCAGAAACACTGACACAATTGCTGTCGCTTTACAATTGTGATCAACAGTCATTGCCTCATTGTTGAAAAGCAAAAATAACTCTTACTCACGCTGTCAGGAGAAAAAAAAGCCAATGGATGCAAAGAGAAAGTCATTTCAGACAAGAAATAAAATGGGGAAGAGTTCCAGCATAACAGCCCCTCACTTTACTCAGTAGTACTAATCAGGGCAGAGACGCCCACAACGTACCAATATGTCAGTTTTAAACCGTCGACCAAGATCATAAAATATATCAAAAATATATAACATAAAGTGTATATTGTTTAAAAACAGCTGTAGAACATTTGGGATTATTAAGATTTCACTTTTCTCTGACTTATGGTAATATTTTGTTTCTTTGTCTCACACAGACGCTGATCTTCTCCTGATGTCACCGTCTGCTTCAGACACAGAGGCTTCCAGCAGACCGGACGACTCGACCTAGAGCCGATGCCTCCAGGGTTGTGCTGTGTGGTGTCGTTGTGTCGCCTCTTGTTGTTAGCATGACTCTGTTTCCTGCTGACAACCTGCTGTGTCTCGGTATCTACATTACTGTGTGGTTCAGTGTCCTCTTCGTCCTCATGATCGCACCAACTGTACTCGGAGTCTCCTTTGGTATGCGCAGACTCTACATAAGGACACTTCTCAAGATCTTTGAGGTGAGCCTGGTGACCTTTGACCTTTGCATTCATGTGTTATTAATCCAGGGTCTTTGGTGAAATGAAGAAGTTATTTATTGTGCAAAATTTCGGGACAAATACAGTATGTTACACTATCTCTAAACCACTATAACAATTATGGACCGTAGAGTTATTAGTACAGTTGACACACTAAAACAGTGATAATCCTATTTGATAAACAAAAGCATTCCTTGTTGGATGGGACCCCAGGGTCCCAGCTCAGACAGATTGTTAGACACATGGGGTATGTTGGTGCATCTTCTCCCTTAAGGGATGTAGGCTTGGGAACAGGCCTCTGGGACAAACAAGTGTTTAGCAATGGGACAACCAATTGAGGTGGTGTGAGTACAACAGGGAGCTTGGGCTCCTGGGACGAAGTTAGATTTGCTTTTGGGCATTTTGCTAAATGTTTTCCTTCTTCCCTGGAGGTTGCAGGACAGTTGAAGGCAGCTGTTGTAATCCAGTGGTCTCCACTTTAGAATTGGGCTCAGCATGAGTCGCTTTTTGATTCCCTGTAGCAGCTCAGTCTAAAGTGGCCCTCAGTGGTGTCGTTTTGTTGTTTTATTTAGCGTACCATCAAGCGATGGTTCTTTTCTCCAGGTCTAGGGGGCAAAGCAGTCTGATGCATCCACACTGTGACCTACTTACGCTTGAGTAAGTCATTCAAAGGGTAGAGGACTGAATTTGTTGAGTGTTGCTGTAATTTCTCAGCTGCTGCAAGCTTCTCAGAGCTGTAAACACCACCTTGATCTCATCGTAGATAATGTTAAACAATTGTGTGTCGGCTTTAGAGTGATCAATTGGCAGAAATCTAATAAACTATTCAGAAATATGTTTTATTGATTGTATTTAATCACCTGGAACAAAGAATCGTTGTGTTTTCTTGTTTATTACTTCTAATGCAACTATTAGTAGTATGTCTGTATGTAAGTCAGCCTCAGTCTTTACTTTTACATTGCTGGACATCAAACATCAGTGCAAACATAGAAAATACAACACTGAATTGATCTAATTTGCTAAGCTAGTTATCTTAATGTGTTTTCTCTTGGATTAGTGGGCAACGCTACGAATGGAGATTGAAGCGAAGAAAAAGAATCAGGAACTCTATAAACCGTATAGCAATGGTAAAGAAATGATATTTGAATATTTCTTAGTCAAGAATGCCTATTGTATGTGTATATTTTTTTAACCATTAACTCAAATATGTGTTTTTTTCTTCCCATTCTCATTGAAGATATCATAGCCAAAGAACCACTATCCTCTTTACAGCAGGAGATCCAGGAGCTTCGTGGTTGTCTGCGCTCAGAGGCGGAGTTTGAAATGGCAGACATCTTCTACTTCTGCCGGAGAGGTGTGGAGAGCATCGTGGACGATGAGGTGACCAAGCGCTTTTCAGCCCAGGAACTGGAAAGCTGGAACTTACTGACCCGAAGCAGCTACAACTTCCGTCACATAAGTATGAGACTCACAGTCCTGTGGGGCTTGGGGGTCCTCGTCCGCTATGGTCTCCTGCTGCCTCTCAGGTCAGAGCAACACACGGGCAGATTTGTCTCATGGTAAAATGACTAAACAACAACTGCTTCATAATTCTCTTTCCTGCAGGGTTACTCTGGCAGTCACTGGCATTAGTTTGCTCCTAGTCCTGACAACCTTGGTGGCCATTTTACCAAATACAGAGTAAGTTTTGTTCGGTTCCTAATTGTTCAAAATATAAGTGAGATGTCATGTTATCACAAAAGCTCAGGTTTAAAACATAGACTGTATGTTAAGATGGCTGACACAGCCACTAACATTAAGAAGGGGGTTAGTTATACTCCAACCAGCCACCAGAGGGCAATAAAGATAATTTGGTTTCACCTGCCATGTTGTCCATCTGTACAGTCGATGGTTTAAAATGACAACATTTTAAAGTTTGCATCAGTTCTACAGCAGCTGCAGTGATTGCTGCTGCAATGAGCTCTGTGTCTTCAGTTTAAGGTTTTACCTGAGTGAGAAGATTCATATGATGTGTTACCGCATCTGTGTCAGATCTCTAACAGCGATCATCACCTATCACCACAGGTACACACAGCCTTTAAAATGTCATCCATCATTTATATACATACTGTGATCTTTTGAATATCTGTGGTTTTGATCTGGGGTGTAAGTTGAATGTCTGTGTATTAAATAAACTTGTTTCATTGCAGCGAGAACAAACCTCAGAATGGTGGCATCTGTGTGGCTAATCATACAACCCCCATTGATGTCATCATCTTGGCCAATGATGGCTGCTACTCTCTGGTAGAAACGTTTGTGTATCCTGTGATTCTGTGATTGTACATGTTGACTGGATGATTAGGGAATGTTGCTGTTATGCTGTTCGAGATGAGCAGACATGTTGTTTTCGTGCTGACTTTAACTTGTCTCTCAGATTGGTCAGGCTCACAGAGGGTTGATGGGAATGATACAAAGAGCCATGGGCAGATCCTCCCATCACATCTGGTTTGACAGATCAGAAGTCAAAGACAGACACCTAGTGGCCAAAAGGTAACACTGCATCATCACTGCTGTTGGCCAATACAATATGAAGTCCCTCACTGTCTCTATGACTGCTGTGTTATTAATAAGGAGGGCTTTATCACCATGGAAACAAATTAAGATTTTAGGTTTTACACATTATAGCTGCCATCAGCAGTCATTATTTTACAGATTTGACTCTTGTAACATCTCCATTCATGGTAATGATTTGGTCTTGATCATTCTTATGACACCTAATCCATCAATCTTAATTTACAGTGTAGAAATGATTCAAACTGACAGATTTTTATTGAATATTTTGATGAAAATATCTTTTGTCATTTCAGGCTTGGGGATCATGTTGCTGATAAAACCAAACAGCCCATCCTCATGTTCCCTGAGGGTGTGTATCATAATGTTGTAGAGTTTCCAACAACTGATGATGATACTTTTGAAGTTTGTTGTTTATTGTACAAGCTCATGATGTCATCAGCAGGTACTTGCATCAATAACACATCAGTGATGATGTTCAAAAAGGGAAGCTTTGAAATTGACTGCACTGTTTATCCGGTTGCCATCAAGGTGGGAACTTTTGTCGCTTTCCTATTTCTGCTTAAGTTGCTGGTACAACCGCTTGATCTGCCTGTATTTCTTTGTCCAAGTACGACCCTCGGTTTGGTGATGCTTTCTGGAACAGCAGTAAGTTTGGCCTGGTGACTTATCTGCTGAGGATGATGAGCAGCTGGGCCATCGTCTGCAGTGTTTGGTATCTACCTCCTATGAACAGAGAGGTGAAACTACGTCACAACAAAACAACTCATACAACTTTAGACAACCTTTTATTTCCTCTATCTACGGAACAACTTATTTTATTATTGTCCCTGTGTAGGAGGGAGAGGATGCAGTGCAGTTTGCAAACAGAGTTAAAGCCGCTATAGCTGCACAAGGAGGCTTAGTGGATCTAATTTGGTGAGTCATTGTAACACTAGATGTGTTAATGGTTGTATACAGACGGGGGGGGGGTTAAAATGGTCTGAAAGCAGGGACAGAGACAGTGGTATCATGCTCCTGAAGCTGAATTACAGTCTTGGTCAGACACTGTGTCTGAGTCTGTGTGTGTCTCCCTCTTCCTCTCTCTCTTCTCTGCTCTAAGGGACGGAGGCCTGAAACGAGCGAGAGTGAAAGACGCCTATAAAGAAGAGCAACAGAAGCTCTACAGTAAAGTTCTGGTTGGTGAGCAGGACCAGAAGGACCAGAGCGGTGACACACATTTAGAGGATGAAAAACCTGAAGAGGAAAGAAATGACCAAGATTTAAGAAAAGGACAATGAAGCCAATGTAATTTTCTTGTACAAGACTTTTACTTTCAAATGGTACATTTGATTTACCAAAATAAAAATGTATTTTCTGTAATTTTTACCAGGCCAAAGAAAACCCTTTAATTGTATGTTTTGTTTTGACATTTATCTTCTTAACATGGAGGGGGCAGGGTTTAAGACCAGCACTGTGGCCAACCAGCAGGGGGCAATCAAGATGCTTTGGCTTCACCATTGGGGAGCTGCCCTTTCATCCATATTTGTTTACAGTCTGTGGTTGTGACATCAGGGGAATCATCACAGCCCTAAAGTTTTGCCAAGTGAGCTTTTTGTAAATGATGAAAACCTAAATTATTGCAGATCACAGTCCAAGCAGGTGTGCACACACACACACACACACACAGACTAAAGTACTACAGTCGTTACATCACAGTCAGACAGACACTTGCAGTGCCAAACGTGCGTCACATTTCTTATTGGCTCAAGGCTCTAAATGTGTCTGCAGCTCTAATCTTTGCTGGGCATTGTGAGAGAGATCACATACTTTCAGACCTTGTGCTTAATGTCAGACATGATCTCAGTTTGTTAGATTTGTCTTTGTTGAGACGATTTTGTGATTGATAGAAACCAACCCATCAGACTTTGTGTTACCTCTGTTCCCTTTTTAAACAGCAGGAGTCAGTGTTCAGACATGATCCATCCTGATGAGAACATTTCTTCCAGATGGATGTACAAACTGATTCAGACAACCGAATAACTGTCTGAAATCCTCCAAACCCATTCTGACATGCTCAGGCTCGTGGAGATCATTTACTGTATGTGCATTGAGTAGGAAGGAAATCAACTGTAGAGAGGTTTTCAGCCCATTAATGGACTGAAACAGACAAAATAAAGAAAAATACTCAGAGTATTTAAGAGCTTTCAATCCATCTGATCTGCAGATGGAGGAGAATCTGTGCAGACACCGCAGCCGTATGAACCCTATCAGCTGTCACAGGCTTGTCAGGTATCCTGTCCTTTCTCAGGCTGGGAATTATTAGAGCGGAGAGTTCTGGTGGTTTTGGACAACATAAATGTTGAGGCAGGAGTAGATGTGACTACTGATTATTACAGAACAAGACAAGGAGTCTTGTCTAGAAATACAGTTCCTAACTAAATTCCTCACACAGCTCTCAAAATCTGAACCTGAGGACACACCAAATCACAGAGGAAGCTATTATTTTCTTTATTAATTAATCTGCCAAATTTCTGATCTATAGATTGATCATTTTGCAGTTATCACTTGACTCAATATATGTATCTGCCCACTTCACTTTTTATATCACTCCTCTGCCACAATACACAGTCAGCCTGAATCTGTTCTCAGTGGATCAGTGCATATCTGCAAGCTCGGCACGTCATTGTGGAGGAAACATATCAACAGCTGCAGATGCTGCAACAACAGACAGACACTTATCCTCTAACACAGTCAGTCACAGGTCATTCGTGAACGGGTCGGGATTAGATTTGGAGATAATTGTTTAATTATCTCAGCCAGTAACAACACTCACTTGCAACAGCCAGGTTTTAAACAGTAGAGGGCAGTCACTAAGCAGACTTCCATATAAAGTGTAAAATTCAAACTCTTTGCACTATAAATGTCAAGATTTGGGCCTGACAACACTACTCGATACCCATGGGAAAAAAAAATGTGTGTAGGGATATGGTCTGATGCTGGTGCAGAGTGAAGGGTGCACAGGTGTGAACAGGCATCAGCTGTGTCCTGTTGGCTGCAGTGTGTGTTGTGATGTGAACGATCCACACACTCTCAGCATGAGGTCAACCTGTTAATCTGTGGGCGTGTCTTGTCTTATCCAAGGCGTCCTCTCTGTGTGACCACGCCCAATCAGCTGTTTCCTCAACTTCAGTCAAGTCAAAGGGGAACACTCTCTCTCTGCTCAGACCACTGTGTGTGTGTGCGTGTGTGTGTGTGTGAGACTCGGTGCCTGACACCGCTGCGATCTATCCTCGGAGTTCGATTCCTATTTGAAATCCAGCAACACGTGGCGTCATCATGTCCCTAGCGGATCTGCAGTGGTGTCCCACAAGCGTCCAGGTAACGGTGCTCCAAGCCCGAGGCCTCAGGGTGAAGGGGAAAGGCGGCACCAACGATGCGTACGCGGTCATGCAAGTGGGCAAGGAGAAGTACCAGACCTCGGTGGTGGAGAAGAGTGTAGCTCCGGTGTGGAGGGAGGAGGCCGCGTTCGACCTTCCGCCGCTGCTGCTGCTTCACCAGGGCGCAGGAGGAGCAGGTGGAGGAGGAGGAGGAGAGCGCGGCACGTTGCGCGTCCACGTCCTGCACCGGGCCCTGGTGGGTCCAGACAAACTGCTGGGACAGGCTGTCATCAACCTGCTGCAGCTCAGTGAGGACAAAAGCCGCAGCAAGACCGAGTAAGTGCACACAGCAGGAAGTCAAGTGTGCAAGCAGCAATGTCTCACTGCTGATAAACTACATGCACAAGCACACGTTCAGAGTTTTATCAGGGCAAACGTTTTAGTGTCAAAAAAGTCTACAAAGTCTGCAAACCACTAAATTCAAAAAGATCAATTTCAGGATGATGCACATAAAGGAAGCTACTGGATTGTTATTGTTGGTGCATGTGTTGCAGCTCCTAAATGTGAGGCTAATTTTAAGTAGTCCACCTTACTGGTGAATTATAAAGCATAATAGTTAAAGGTTCAGTGTGTAGAATTTAGTGACATCTAGTGGTGAAGTTGGATGTTGCAGCTGAAAACCCCTCACGTCAACCTCCCCTTCCAAACATGATAGAGAACCTGTGGCTGTCTTCAGTTGCCGTAAAAACTCAAAAGGTGTTTAGTTTGTCCAGTTTGAGCTACTGTAAAAAACATGGTGGCCTCCGTAGAGAGGACCCGCTTGCAGTGTAAAAGTGCATCATCATAGAGGACTTTAGAAAACCAAATAAAATTCATATTTTTGAAGATGCTAACAGATTTAACAAATTGATTGTTTGTAGATAATGTTTTACCAAACAAGTAATATTACCAAGTGCAGATGTGTATTTTTGTATTTTGACGGAATCACAGCTTCTCCACATCATATGTTTTGACTGAATGTGTTTTAAAGCACAAGCAACACCTCAGTATCAGGCACATGTTTGCTTTTAGCACAGAGTAACTGATTTTCATGCACTGCAGGGGAACGACTCCTGTCAGTCATACTCGACTTTGGGACACTGCAGGACAAAACTATAATCCCTATTAAACCCTGAAAAAATATAATGCCAAGTTTTTTTCATTTTAATATGACTTATGCAGCACCTGATAACTGTGGATTTGGGTTTACATATGAAATGATTTTGCTTAATTCATGCTTTTGTAAAGACTCTGTATAGTTTCTCTCTGTGATTGCACTTTTGTTTTAACTGACGTGAGGTATTCACACGCACACACACAGAGCCATGCATCACTGTACAGAGCCGCCCCGGTGGGTTTGACTTATGAATGTTGCCCACTCGCTCCACTGCAGCTTAAGGGATTTGTTTCCTCGGCTGCAGCCTTGGAGGATGCCAATCAGCATTGCTTACTGAGGCGAGGGAAGTGAACCACAAGATTCACTCTTTCATTGACTAAACTTGACGACAACAACAGAGAGATTTCCTCAAAGAAGCCTTGAACGTCACCTCTCTCTGCCCAGTGGAGAACATTAAAGATTACACTACATCAAAGATTCAGATTACACCACATACACAAATGAGCAAAGGAGTTGAAGTAATTACATAAAGTGTTGAGTATATTCTGCAAAAACATTCACACCTATTTAATCCTGCACATATTTGAGTTAATAACAGCAGTGAACACGTTCCACAGGCCCTCCCTGGTGCTACTGGTCTCTTTGTAATGGTGATTATTTTTGTCTGTTCATGTTCAAAGAAAAAGTTTCTCATTCATCCTTTTTATTAAAGTTAAACATCCATCATTATGTCGCAGCGAGATACTTCAGTAAGAATGGGAAACTTTTGTTGCACTAATAAGCTGTTTCTGGGTATTTCAGTCCCCTGCCATGTGATTGGTATTATACAAAAGCAGAGTCAGAGTGCATACCAGCCTGTTTGTCCATTCACACACACACACACACACACATGCTTCCTTCTCCCACTCATTTACAGCTGTTTGTTGTGTTGCTGTGTCGGCTCTGTTTGAATTTTTATATCGTGGTTCATTTCTGCTCATGTTTTGTTCATCATTTTGTTCAGGTTATGTATTCACCCCTTTCCATCAGTTTGTTTGTGAGGCAAGATAAATTCAATTCAATTTTGATGCGAATCCAGGAAGATTAAATTACTTTCTTTTACATTGAGAGATGGCATTTTATGGCATTTTCAGTGATTCAGTGAAAAGTCAGGCATGTTTAGAGATAGCTATCTATGAGTGTGTGAAATGTGATGCATCTTGATTGAATTTAAGGACTGTTTGTCCTTGGCAGAGGTATGTGCTTTACTGAATCTCACACTGTTGCTTTGACTACTGTCACATCTTCCTCTGATCTGAAACATGTTGGGCTGAACTTCACCTGGCTGTGTGCTGCATTATTAATCATGAATGGTTTTGGGTTTCGTGACATTTGCGTCTCTGATCACATTTGCCCTTTTTTGGTTGCTGTCTTTAAAAAAAAAAATCAGATACAGTTTCCCTTCATAACAGCTATTTGTTGATTCAGTACGTGTGTATGTTTTCTGTCCATGTTTTCCGACACTGAAAACCTATATTTTTCGGCAGCAAACATGCTGTAGCTGGTGTAGAGTAAATGCTCTGTTGATCTTTCTGTGAGCTTGGTGAAAGCACCTCCTGAGGGTCAAATCCAGCTTTAGCCTCAACATTCCAGACAGTTTTATCTACAAAAAACAAACAGTGCAGTGGCATCAGGGACAGTCCAGCAAGGTCATTTCTACTGGAGAAAAACCATTGTGCTTATACTGACTCCTGACACAAAAACAGGTCTTGACATGTTGGTGGCAGAATACAATTCACATTGTTTATAAATCCTGCAAAAGAGACTTATTCAAGCTATTTTATCCAAACTCATTGTGAACAAACACTGCAGGAAAAAGGAGGAGACACTAATATTATTATTACCTTCACCATGGAGGATATGTGTTGTGTTGTTGGTTGGTGTTTGGTAGCTTTGGTCAATAGATATATTTGAATGTCTAGTAGCTGCAGGGCATTGAAATTCAGGATCCAAAACCTTTGCACATTCTATATCCCCATTTCTCACTTGCACTTTTCAATCAATACAACGATGGTGAAATAGTGAACCAAAATTCCGGAACCCTGTAGTAAAGAGGGACTAAATTCCAGCTTCCATCCACTATAGTGTGTGCTCCAGCATGTGTTGTTATCTATTTTTGTTTAAACTGTAGCTGTGGTTTGCGACACCCTTGTCAAAAGAGAATATTTCTCCAGTTTCACTCTGGTTCCTTTGTACAGGCGTTTGTTTTGGCTTCTATGTCTCGTGGATGTGGACCGATACGATAAGCTTTGGACATTTTTAGGTTCTTGGACGTTATCACTGTTGAGTTGCTTTTACTCACTCAGCCCTTCTCCCACTCGTGCAGCTGTGTGTTGTGATAAGGACTCGGGAAACTGGGGGCATTGTCTTATCAGCAGTTCAGGCTCCACACGGAAGGATGCGTTTTGTGCAGAAGGTAGAATAAATGTATAAAATGTTGAGTCATGCATTATCTTCCTTTTGGTTTTATCTGTGCTGTAGAGCAACACCCTTCATTCTCTTCATGTGGGTGTGAGGTTAATGAGTTTCATCATCATCCAGGCATTGATGAGAAAAGGCCTCTTTTAATTCCTCCTCCTACACACAGCTCACTCACCCAACCAGCTAACGCCTCAACACTTTTGCAACTTCCCTCCTTATTTAACTGATGCATGCTTTAGGGAAGTACAAAGGTTAAAGGTTTACAATATACTTCTGTGTCTTACCATTATGCCATTTCTACACAACACAATATATACTAAAACTAGGCTGCATCATTATCCAAATATATATTAATGCTATTACCATATATAGTAACACTATGCTGCTGTTTATAAAATACTATACCATTGGTTCTTTTCTGATATTTTCTGTCATCGATATGTATTTCACACGTTTACAAAAATCACAGAAAAACTGATGATACCAGGGATCGAATGAGCATAAGTCTAAACCTGTGATTCCAAACAATGCACTTTACAATAAGATTTCCTTTACTGGAATACAGGATGTAGGATTATGGGAAATTTTAATTCATAAAATGTTCCCCTTTGATAGGGAAACCATTTAAATTGATATAAGTTATAATATCACAGAAAGATTGAATCGAATATTGTTTTTCAAAGCTTTTTGCTGCACATAACTAAAATGTATGTGGATTGGAATATGAATATGCTGAACTGCTGCAGAATACAAATATCATGAATTTAACAGTGTTCTGCTAATGGACGATCATCAGACAAATAATGTAGACGCCTCCCAGTGAAATATTTAAGGCCTGAAATGTGCAAATTACATCCCATTGCTCGTCAGCAATAGAGCAGAGGAGCTGTGACAGCAGTCTCACCCGTTTCACAAATTCCAGCTTGCTTTGTGGCACACATCTGAAGCATTCCTGAGAGACGAGGAGGAGGAAAGAGACACTCAACTTATCTGATTCAGGGGCACTGAGAGGACATTGCGTATTCCGCTGGGTGAGGTGTTAACTACAGGGAATGAAGTTACACACGTAACTTATATTTAACAATGTTCATACGTGCACGTTTCTGTAAAACCACGTGTGAGCTGACTTTTTTTTTCTAATGTGTTTCGCTGTTTAAGAAAGATGAGCCAAAGCCACGAGACGGAAATATGTTCTCCCAAACACACACACACACACACACACAAAACCCCTTCCTCATTTCCTCAGGAATTCAGATTTCAGTTGGAGTTGTTTGTTCAGTGGCGAGCTGACCTCAGATTTCTGCCTGATAGGCAATTTTTATGCTGACTCTTCCTTTTCGTTGTTCTGTTAAAATGTTCTGCTCGTTCTGAGACTCATCTCTCAGGACCAGACCACGACACCGGTGCAGCGGCACAAAGTCAACACGGTCTCGTCTCAGTGGACTTCTCAGTCTCTTTTTTGCATTTTGTCACAACAAATTCAAAGTTGGAGACACGAGGGGGAAATGTTGTTAAAGGCTAATGATGTAGAAATGATGTTTCACACAGAGTAAGCATTCATAAATTCTCCACGTTGGACGCCGCTACAGACAGGATTTTTATTTAAAGGAAAACTTTCCCCCTGTGGTCACTTTGCTGGTTTTGCTTAGATCATCACAGACTTTCCAAAAATATTCAAGCTGCTGCTGAGTCACTTTCCATTCTCCTCAGGATTGATCATAGTTTCCACAAGAAAATTATGAAAACTAAACATTAACTTTAGTTTGAGTTTTGATGATTGCTTTCACCAGTAGGTTACAAATATAGTGAGTAATATACACTATATAATGTATAGTTATGGTTATATCTCTTGTTATTGCAGTTTGTGTATGATCTTTAAAGTACTGGAGGAGTGTGAGCACTCAGCAGACAGTGTTTTAATGTCCATGCATTCACACTAAAGCCTGTAGGGACAGATGATTATTCATTTGATAATCTTGTTTCTTGGCTTTGAATTGAATCATATAGTTGTGATATAATAATGCTGTTTTCCACACAAAGAATAATTTAAAAACTAAAACAAATTTGATGCTGAAAGTTTTAAATACGTTTCATGTGAAATAATGCATGTGTAAGTGAGCCGCAGTTCATATCACTGAACATTTCAAATGTTCTCATTTTCATATACATGTGCCTTACACTGTGATCTATATTGTATATGAATAAAGATGAAATATTCTTTTTGAAACTGTGCAGATGATAAGTTATACTGTATTCTGTTCTATACGGTGCACTTGTGGTGCAGTGGAGCTACAATTAAAAAGCCTCAGGAGGCGTTTAGAATCTTACTTCCAAGATGGGCCAGTGCAAGTCACATGTTTGTGGCCTGTAATGTTCCTACTTTCCATGAGGTCTTGAGGAATTTTATGTGCAAATGTATGTGTCAATTAACTAATTCAACAAATGTTGTCATGATGTCCTAAACTGAGCCTCGACAGAGTGACAAGTTATTTCTCTTGTTTCTGGAAACACTGGAACAAATGTATGTGTTTTAATAATAATCTGATAATCTTGGACTTTTGAGGATATATATTTATATTTTATAATTAAATGGATATGCACCTTTTGTTTTTTGCAATAAAATTGAATTGATATTTTAACCATGTAGCTCACCCCCATGATGAAGATAATGAGTAAATCTGCAGATTCTGGCTCCAGCTGTTTTCAGTAAAACCCCCCGGTGGTGAGAAAAATGAATGATAATGCTGCTTCATAATGTCTGAGCATGTAAATAATATGTCAACTTAAAGGGGGTGATATCAATGTCGTTTTCACATCTGGTTGCCTCTGCCCCCAAGTGGTCAAAATATCAGTTCTTTGTCTAAGAATAGACAAGATATTTTCCAAACATCTGAAGTCATGAATCAGAATAGGATTACATGATGTTTAACGTGTGTTAGAATCAAATCTAATAACATTTCTTTCTTGAACAGATGGTTTAAGTTGCTGGACAAGACGGGCAAGGCAGACAAAGACAGAGGAGAGGTTTTTCTGGACATCCAGTTCATGAGGAACAACATGACCGCCAGCATGTTCGACCTCTCTGCTGCAGGAAAATCCCGCTCCCGCCTGGGCAAGTTCAAGGACAAGGTTCGCGGCAAGAAGAAGGAATCCGACGCTGCGTCTGGCGTGCTGCGATCCTTCAGCCCGGTTCTGACGGACAGTGAGGGGGAGGCAAACGGAGATGAGGAGGTGGCTGCGGGGAAGGATGACAAAAAGAAGAAACATAAAATGAAATCTTTGTTTTCTTCCAAGTCCAACCTGCAGAGGAACATGTCTCAGTCCATGTCTATTCTACCCGCGAAGAACTCGTCGCTTAGTGGCAGCCAATCGTCTGGTCTGAATATGGATTCCTCTGAAGGTCAGGAGAAACAACTTTTATTTGACCAAAATATTGTTACTCTTTTATTGTGGTATTTTTAATCAAATGCATGTGAATATTTTTTCTCATGTCTTTCCAGGTAAAAAGAAGTTCAAGTTCAAGATTCACAAACGCTCGGGTAGCTCAGACGGCAAAGATTCCTCCTCTAGTCACCAGAAAAATGCTACTACAGAGCAGAGCAACTTGTGCATCAATGGCAGCCATGTTTACTGTGAAGAGCCACAGAACCGCATTTCTCGCATCGGGTCAAACTTCAGTCTGGCCAGTTCAGGCCATGGATCCATGGAAGACGTCCCTGAAAGCTCTCCTCCGTCAGTGGAGTCACTTCAGGCAGTGAGGCAATATTCTGCCTGGAGAGAAGAGGAGGAAGAGGAGGAAGAGGAGACGGCTGAAGTAGAAAATTTAACAGAGGAAATGACAAGGATGGAGGAGGAGAGGAGGAGAAAAGAAGATGTAGATGAGAGGTTGAGGAAACAAGAAGAAGCTCTTGAGAGGTTGGCTGAGCAGAAGAGGAGACA